TACAAAACGGAGAGGTGCTTTCTAAAGCTATTTGTCAGTTCACAAAGAGAAAAACCAGCAGTTTTAAGCTTTTCAGGAAACCGTATGCTGCATGTTTATTTGAACGTTCTTCTTTATAGTTGGTCCTGGTGTGAATAGAAACAACACAAATCCCAAAGTGTTCTTTCCTAGGGCTTCTGGTTGGGGAGAAGGGGGTATTAAAAAACAGCTAGAATTCCTTTAACTTCTAATTTAGACTTATCAAGTAAAAGTAATAAAGTGCCCAATACAGAGTTTGGTATTTTCTAGGTACTTAGGAAATGCCTCTTCATTAATTCACTTTCCAAATCAAATTTTAGTTTCCAAATAAAGTTATTTAAAAAGAGGAGAGGTACACACTATTATAAAGAATTCTAGTAGGAGTTCATTACAATGTAAGGCCATGGGTTTGAAAATGAAATGGAAAAGTATAGCCAAGAGAGATTAAATTTGAGGCTATATGGTTGACTGGATTGATTGTTAATTAGGGCAATTATCTAAGAGATAATAGAATTACTTCTTGGTTGATATAATTTGGTCAGTGAAGCATCCAAAGTACTTCTACTACAAGTTGAGTGGTCTAAGAATTCCAGAAAGCAAAATCTCCTGAGGGCCACAAAACTTTTGAGTATCTTAAGTCTTCCATGCTGGCTCAGGAAAACACAAACCAGAAAATCCTGACACCTGGACACTAGCAATCAGCCAGAATAAGCTCTTCAGACTTCATTCCACATTTTTAAAAAGAATTTGTGAACATACAGTGAAAGTGCAACTCACAATACATTACTGAAATATCTAAATTATGAAAACTCAGGATTAGCTTATTTTAACAAGAGGAAATAGCAGAGAATAAGGTGGTGAGACCATCAGATGAGCCTAACAATGACCCCCAGGTCCTCACTAGCTCTCTTTCTGGGTGGCCGCCACGAGACACAGGAGAGGCACCCATGTTGGTCCAAGAAAATGAGAGCCCCACTGAGCTTCAAAAGCACATGCAAAGGTCCTCTGGATAGGTTTCTCCACGTAAATCAAGCAGTCATTATTTATTCAAGGTGAGAGGAGTATGAATTTTTAGAAATTAAAACAGTCTGTATGCAGTAACATTTACACAGTATTCTCTACACAGTAAGTGAAGGTGCAGGGCCATTTCCAACAGCACTACCCTACGATGGAAACCTCAGTCCTCTAGTGCAGAACCAGAGACGATCACCTGTGCAGCCGCACGGCCTCTGCATGCAGGAGTCAGCACACATCCCCGCACTCATACACCCCCACGCTGACTCACCCTCAAGGTCCTGTTGCTATTACCTTCTCAACAGATGTCATCTCACTGACACACTCATCTTCTAAATGTGCATCAATCTCAGGGTCTTTCTAATTCCTCTGTGTGTAATTCATATGCCATAACCCTACCCAAGTCCCCCCTAAATCCTAAATGTCCTAAAATCTTCGAGTGGTACCCTGTCATCTTCAGGATAAAGCCTAAGTTCCCAAGCACAGCACACAACAAACCTTAAAATCTGGCCCATCCTAATTTCTTGCTTTTTCCCAACTGTGCTAGGCTTCTTCACCTTCTTTCCTTCCAAAAATATTAACTAGGCACTATTTTAGGTGCTTGTCATCCATGAATGAACAAAAAACGATCTTCGTCTTTGTGAGCCTCATGTTCCCATGGTAGACAGGCAGGCAGAGAAGTAGAGACTGATAGGCAGATGCACAGACAATGACGGGTAGGCAGGCAGGAGGACGGATGACTGACAGTGTCAGAGGCGATGACTGCGATGGACACACGCGCATCAGGAGGGGAGGGCAGGGATTGTGCGAGATGACACCGTGTCATAACGCTTTAACTGGGTGGTCAGAGAAGGCTCACAACAACAATAACCCTTGAGCAGAGACCTGATGGAAAGGTAACAAGCAGTGTGTGTATCCAAGGGAAGAACATTCTAGGCAGCAGGAGCAGAGAGCGTAAAGGCCCTATAGCAATTAGGTGCTTGACAAACATCCAGGAAGCCAACATGGCTACAGAAAGGAGACGAAAGACAAGACCACAGCGTGATGGGAAGCCAGATCACAGACGTGGCAGATGCGAACTGTACTCTGAGAGCAGTAGAAACTACTGGAACACGGAGAAGAGGAGTGTCACCAGCAAGCCCATGTCTGGGTCGCTGCTCTGGCTCTTCCTGTGGACCATAAGCTCCTTCACCCAAAGCAGGCAGAGTTCCAGACTCACCCCCACGTCTGGGATTCTAGCTGGAAAGGACAGACACAAAGTGTAGCAGGCATCCCGCATCCGCCACCTCATGAGGATGCTATGTGATGTGAACAGAGACTGTGAAGTAGGGCTCCAGGTGCGCTGGACCAAGACAGGTGTGGTTCTCTTCAAAGAGGGCGGTGCTCCTTCACCACCACGCTCCACCCTCATCCCTCCCACATCTACGCCTCCACCATTTCCTACTTTGTCACTTCTCAGACTTCTATTGGAAAAGAAAGCAGTGAGGCAACCAACTCCTGGCCTGTGTCCTAAAACAGCCAGGAGGACTTGAAGAATAGCCTTAGCCAAGGCCAGGAAACATCGGGTTTATCAGCCTCATCCCTCGTCATTAGGAAAGAGTGGTCACGCAGGAAACAGACTGGGCCAGGTCTTAATTCCCATCTAAATCTTAAAAAAATTTAACACAGAATGTCTGAGCTTAGAATGAGGCATGCGTTTCAATCTCCTGTGTGGTAAGAAGTCAGCCAATAGAGGCAGACAGAGCTAGATCTGCACTGTATTCAGCTGGTACCCGCCATATCACCATTAACCACTACACACTCCCTGCCCTTGCAGCTCCTCATCTATAAAATGGAAAAAAGAACACCTGACTAGTTTCCGTGAGAACTGAAGATAGTGATGATAGTAAATGTGTATCCACATGTATTTGCACATCTACATGTGTGGGTCGGTATCCACATGTGTATCTCCACGTGCACGACTACCTACGTGTGTCTGTGTTCTGTGTCTGCATGTCTACACAGGTCTATGTATCTAGGTCTCCATGTGTCCACAGGTGTGCCTATGTGTGTACTTACATGTCTCTGGGCCAACATGTCTGCCTCTGTTTGTACTTACGTGTGTGTCTGTTTGTCCACATATGTGTCTCCTGTGTGGGGGCTGTGTATACATCGATATGTGTATACATGTGTGTCTGTGTACCTGTCTACACTGTGTGTGCATGTATGTCTACTACATGTGACTTTGTATGTATCCATCTGCGTGTCAGCACCCGTGTGTCTACTATATGTGTCTATACTACTTGTCTCTAAGCACGTGTCTACTGTATGTGTGACTACATACCTTCACGTGTGTCTATGCTTGTGTCAACTGTATGTGTGACTAGCTGCATACATACATAAAACACTAAGATGGTGGTGTCAAGACAAGTGAGGGAACTGAAGCATTTCATGGTAAGGTGACAGCACACGTGAGTGTGCCTCCACCCAGCTAACCATCTGAGAGGTGCCTCGGACACCCGAACGGGGGTGGGCTCCTGACACGTGCTGGGAGTTCAAGCACCTCTGGAAATAGAAGGTGTAGCTGAGAACAAGCTCCTGCCTCACTCCATCCCCACCGACCCCACATTGAAGCATCTGAGGGGGTGGAGGGCAGAGCGGCAGCGCTGGGCCTTCACTGCCTTTCGAGCCCACTCTTACTCCAGGACGATGACCCTGATGCCATAGGGCCCGCCCTGCCCCTTCCCACCTCCTTGGCCAGAGGCCAGCCAGGAAATGAGGCAAACGGCTCCTTGCAGGAAAGGGTGGGGGATGGGGCTCATCACCCCCACTAGTGGAAGGAGCCATGAAAGAGAACCAAGGGCCTGGTTGACCCCCAGCCCTGCTGTGAACTGCCTGGGCCACCTCATCACACAGCCCCGGCTTCCTCCTCTGCAACGTGAAGGAGCAGCAAGTACTGCACCTGTTTGTTGTAAAAACCAAGTGAGATAGTACCTGTGAAAGTGCTCTGCAAAACCTGAAGTGAAATACCAGGGTTATCTCTTGTCATTGTCAGCAATCCACATCCACCCAAAACTGAGGTCCCAGTAACAACACTTACTGAGAATTTTCTTTAGCAACTGTAGTTAGGGAAGCAGGAAAAAGCAGTTTTAATGCAGGTGCTGGGGGGAAAAAAATCTCTCAGAATAACTAAAATATTAATCACCAAACAAATTTTCTGATGAAGGAAATTATTGGAACAAAATTAACGAAAGAAATTTAAGCCAGCCAAACCCAGGAGACGGCTGCAACACAACAGAATCACCAAGACAGCATTCTCGTACAAAGCACCATAAAACACAAAGGAAAAAGAGAACATACGAAAGTTTAAGGATTTTCTTTTTTTGAAAACTACTTGAGGAAACAGAAATCCTGGAGTTAAAAGAGAAGGAAAGAAAATTATATCAGCAACCAGGATGATGCAAAGTAAAACCAAACTGCTAGATAGTAACACCTAAAAAAAAGCAAAACTGGGCTCATGAGAGGAACCACTGTTCGCGGTTATGAAATTTTAAAGAGTGGACATTATCTTTAAAAACGTGAAAAGAGGGATCCCTGGGTGGCGCAGTGGTTTAGCCCCTGCCTTTGGCCCAGGGCGCGATCCTGGAGACCCCGGATCGAATCCCACGTCGGGCTCCCGGTGCATGGAGCCTGCTTCTCCCTCTACCTCTCTCTCTCTCTCTCTCTCTCTCTCTCTCTCTCTCTGTGACTATCATAAATAAAAAAAAAACAAAACAAAAAAAAAAAAACGTGAAAAGAGTTACTGCTTACTGAGTTTGGACGTGTCCCCTGGGGGTATATTTGTTCAGGAGGCAGAGGTCATCACCTGTGATCCCACAACCAACCAAAGGACATTCAGACGCACCCCGTCCTGCCTCTTGCCCACAGCTGCTGCACACATACGCCCGCCCACCCATATCACCGTCACCAACTAGGGGACTTGGCCTTACCTGACCGATAGCGCTCATCTCGTGACCCTGAGGACCTTCGGCGGTGATAGCGAGTGGAAGAAGCAGGAGTGACGGGAGCCCGGCGCTCGGGAGGCAAAGCTTGGTCCACCCCTGGGTTGAGGGAAACAGCAGAATAAGGTAAGGCTTTACTTGGCGGCCAGAGCTAACACACTTGGTTGAGGCATCTGGGGGGACCGGGCCCTGAGCCCCTGCACGCCTGCTGCAGCACACGAGGAGCTGGAGCACATGAGGGCTCGGGCTGGGCCGGGGGACATCACGGACACGGACGGCGAAGGGAGAAGCATTCCGGGCAAGGGAAGACTCACGCCCCGACACTACAGCCGTTAGAGACACCAGCACAGGCTGCCTTATGTCACCAACAGGGAGAACACGGATGACAAAAATGGAGCGCAAACAACCAAGTCACAATGTCCTTCACACGATAAACTAGAGGAAGAGTCACATTAATTCTCGAGGGAATTTAAAATTCTGTTGATCATTAAAGAAACCTTGACATTTAATTCCATTGGATATCTTAACAATACAATTCAGGGAACCAGGACTGAACATAAATTGTTCATCTTTGTTCACTCGAAATTTCTAATTCTGAAATCTTACTCCCTTTGATGTGAAATAACTGAAAAGTTTTTAGTTCAAAAAGGCTTTGACGAATTACCGGACGGGATAAGACGGTCAGATAAAAATGATTTGATGGGTAGTTGTCAAAAGCTGACCTCAATCTGGTGATCATACCTACTGCACCGCGGATCTGGAGCAGCAAGAGCACAATGTCGATAAAACTAAGCTCGCGCAAAAGCAGAGGGATTCCGAGCTCCGGGCATCAGGCAGTGACTGCTGCGCCCTCAGAACAGGGCCAGCAACACATGGAGGAGAGAGCAGGCCGGCGCTGTTTTAACAAACCCGTCAGTCCCTGGTTTCCTGTGATGGCTCCTTGAGGGTTAACTGTACCAGGGACCCAGTGTTTGTCTCGTGCTGGTGATTTCTGCACCTTTTTTTTTTTTTTTAAGTAGGCTGCACGCCCAACATGAGGCTCGAACCCGTGACCTGGAGATCAACAGTCATGGCTCTACCGATGGAGCTGGCCAGGCGCCCTGGCCTGTTTGTGGTTCATGATGGGTGAGGTTAACTGACTGCAGGTTAACTGCATTTGGCGAACTGCACTAGAATCGTGTGGAAGATAACCGGGCCACAGTCACTTGGCGAGCTCCTGTGCGCGCTCCACTGACACGCCATCAGACGTCTTGATGACGCAGCCGTTCAGCTGCCTAACCCGGTCCAGTGACAGTCTGCAAACGATCTCTTAACAACAACAACAACAACAACAAAAACCCACTATGCCTCTATTTTCATTGAACAGACACACAGAACTGATGAACTCAAGGAGCGCTATGACGTCATGATGAAGAGTGGTGGCCACTTGGCATTTATGTTCCTGTTTATAAACATGAGTTGACGATCGCCCAGTTGCTATCTTCAGACAACACACGACCATTGGGATCCATAGTCGCTAGTGTGCCGTGAATTCCCTCTGCTTAGACTTGATTATTCCCTAGTTAACATCGATCGGTATCTTCTGATTCCATCATGTGGTTTTCAGTGGACCTCTTGCTCTTTCCTTCAGAACATTCCACCAGAAAGGAACACCCCGTCCAACACTTCCTCCCCTGTGAGCAATCCCGACTATCTGGGGACAGCCTTTCAGTTCGGTGTCTTCTTCCCTCGAGACCCTCCTGGTGGGTAGCCCCCGCCCTAATTCGGGCTGGCTGGTCCACACCGGCCGCGTACCCTCCACAGAGGTCCCTTCCTCCCGGGACTTGATTTTGCCTACACATCTAAGCAAAATCATGTGTGAATTTGAAATCTTGAAAATGTGTGAATACGTGTATTTGAAAGTTACTTGCGTTCGTTGCTCCTCACGTCCGTTGCTGAGAAGTTAAACGTCATCCTTTTTAATTTTGTTAAACATCATCCTGATGGTACATAACTCAGGAAAAATCTGTTCATATTTGTTTCTTTTCTCGTCTGTGAACTTTGGCGGTTTCCTCCTTACTTCCACCAAAGGAGCTACAAGCCGGTGTCTCCCTCCCTCGCAGGGTCCTCGCCCGACCCACCCCCGCAGGTCTACCCGAGCGCAGCCGTCTTTCCCGCACAGACCTCTGGCCACCTGTCCTGTGATCCCGAGAAGCATCCATCACGCAGGGCCGGAGCTCTTCTCGCTCATCTCGCCGTCCAGGGCGTCCGCTGGGATCCAGGGTCTGGCTGCAGGACTGCCTAGAACCCCAAATCCAGGAACTCTCAGGCCTGCTGCTCCAGAGAACGAACACCTCCGAGGAGTGAGGGAGACGGGGTCTCCTGCTTCCTAGACACTGAGCCTGCTGGCCCCCGCTATGACACCCGTGAAAGCAGTGCTGCCTGTGATGCTGGGCTCCCCCGTCATCGACCCCGCAGATCACAGGACGAGTCCCCGCGGCTGCCACTCTCTGGTCCCACAGGGTTACGCTTCATCTGCTCACAGATGCATCACGCAGTTCCGGGAAGAGCGAAGCGTGCACCCCCACGTGCCGAGGTCAGACCCACCTGCTGCACACGCAAAGTGCCCGAGCTCCGTCAACCTGGGCCCGCAGCCCACCCCTGGGCCGTCCGTGGAACCCCCGCGGAACCCCACCCGCTGAGGCCGGGAACACGGCGGACAGCAGCTTTCAGAGAAACGAGCTGATGGAACAAAAGAACAGCTCCAACAGCTCACCAGCCACGGGGCATCTGGAGAACCCACCACGTCAGCGAGCACATTTCTGCCATTCATCTCCCGTCACCGTGACTGGAACCTGAAGCAGCCTAAAGAACGTTCCGATGAGAAAAAACCACCAAACGTGCACCAACTGCAGGTTAGAGTTTCCACCTCGTCAGCACAGGGGACCCACGGAAGAGACCAAGGGTCTTCCTGCAGCCCAAGGTGGCGCAAGGATGCAACTCGCCCCCGGAACGCACTGACGGCCACGCTCGCACCCCAGGCAAAACCTGCTCTGGGGAAAGCTGTGGGCCCCAGAGACCACGCGGGGAGGTGAGGGTCTCGGGGGGCAGGGTCACCCCGGACACACCGCAGACCCCAACTCAGTGGGTCACCGAGGGATGAGCACCCACACCTGGCACGCGAGAGCCTGTGCCCAACCCACACGGTGGTCACTCGCCAGGAGCCCTCGAATGTTCGCGGGAGCCACCCCTCCCCCCCGAGACGGGCGCCCTGGGCTCAGGGACAGGCTGGGGGCAGAGGGCAGCTCCCCGCATCCTGGTGTAGCCACCACCTGGCACCTTCAAGCCCTCCAGTGCGCGTGGTCTCAGAGCCAGATGCGCACCCACCAATGACCTGCCCAGGCCAGGCTGCTGGGACCAGACCAGCCGCCAGGTGTCTGACAGCTATGTGTGCCCCGGATTCCAACCTGAGGCTGCCTGTCACTGGTCGGCTCATAGGGTCCACGGGGGAGCCCTGCCCACAGGCGGGGGTGGGGTATGCTCGCGGCAGGTGCAGGACCCCGTGAGGCCCCCAACGTGCCAGGTCACACGGCCCAGCAGGACTGTCCACTCGAGAACCGCAAAGGGACTGGGGAGGAAGGCAGCTGGGCAGGCAGATGGTCATGTGCCCCTCCCCATGGCCCCCTCCCTGCCCCTGCCCCCGTCCCCCTGCCCCCCCCCCCCACCCAGCCACCACCAGCCACCCACACCCAGTTCAGGAAGGAAAACCCTGACCCAGTTCTGTAACCTCCACGATCCACCACTTCCAGACCAGATCCCGGAACCCAAACTGTCCTCACAGGAACCGAGGGATGCGGCCACACAGGCCCTGTAGCTCAGACACACCACGGGCTTCAGGCCACGACACCTGCAGTATAGACGACACCTGGTCACTCAGGATGTCCAATGTTCCAGGAAACACTCAGATGGCAAACGAAATACAGGAAAAGTCTTGGTTTTTGACAAACTTTCATAAGAAGCCATGAAGGGTTTGTGGAAGACTACCTGAGCAAAGACGCACATGGGATCCAAGTCTTACCCTGAGCCCGCGTGGACCGGAAAAATCCCTCGGCGGATACGTCAGCTCCCGCTGGGAGTGGGTGACCTCCCTGGGCCTGGCTGGAACCCACGCCTCTCCGGTCCTGCCCCCAGTGGACTCCAGCGCCAGCCACTCTGCCCACATGGATCCTGCTCCAGGACCTGGAGCCGTTTCCAGATCGTCCGCTGCTCTTGTAGCGATTACAGCCTCACAGTAGCACTTACGTCTGCAGCGCAGTCGAGCCTCGGCCAGGAATCCGCAGCACCGTTGCTGCACGTGCAGTAAGGGACTCTCCACACTGGCCCAGCGTCAGCTCCGTGGAGTGGGGTGAGGTCACCTGCCCGACCGCCGCCCGAGCCTTCGGTCTCTGCCTCTCGCAGCAGAAGTCCTTCCTGGAACCCAGTACGGATGTGCCGACCGCAGTCCTGTGTCTGCATTCCAGGTGGATTAGGGACTCGCTCTATGGACATGCATAGACGGCCCTGCCAGCAGGGTGCCTTCACACACCCAGCACTCGGTGTTGGCTCAGCAGGTGGGAGCAGCTCGGGAGCTGGCACCCGCGGTCAGGAGCAGGGCTTCTGCGTGCCTCAGGCCCCCACACGACATCGCGCTCCCGCCTCCACTCACACTCCGGGCGCCGGTACGGACACGGGGGAGGAGGAGCCCAGCCAGTGAAACACCAGGACGCACAACAGCGACTCCGTGTGACCAAGCCCTTGGCTGCGAGAAGACACATTTGTTCGGCAGCGAGAGCAGCGAATTATGGGCCAGGATGGCGACCATGGCGGTGTCACCCAGACACAGTTCCCCTCCAGCTGAGGGGGGCTCAGGTCCCACAGCGAGTCGATCTGGACGCGATTTGCACCGAGGCACAGGTGGGGCTGCGCACAGCGGCCAGTGCGGCCCAGGAGGCCCCCGCACCCCCGCCCTGACCCTGGCACACGGCGGCCCGGCTACGGCTGTGTCCTCAGACATGAGAACGTCCCTCATCTTCCTAGACACCAAAAGCGCACGATTCACAAGCTCTGAAGTCAGCTCCTTGTGGGAGACGCCCTCACAGGCCTGGAAACCCAGCAGGAGTATGGGCCCTGGGCATCAGGCGGCTGTGCTAAACCACCCGCCCCGGAAACGTGACGTTGGGACAGTGTGTTCTTAGAGCACCAGACACAAGGCTGCTGGGCTGAAATCCAGGATCGAGGATCCTAACACATGATCCACCTGATGAGGATGTGCCGAGGCCCTGAATCGGACTGTCCCTTAACCTCCCAGGTACAGAAACAGCGGGAACCGTTTACCCTTTAAAAGCATCCAGATCAGAAATGAAGACAAAGCCGTGCTCAGAGGAGGTGCCTGCAGCGCGACTGTCCGTCTGCCGAGACATCGGGGGACTGCACAGGGCTGAGCAGCATGCGGGCACCCGCCCCACCGCCCAGGGGAGCTGTGGCCAGGAGGACACGGGGCGGTGTCAGAGGCCTACGCTTCCTGCCACACGCATGGGAGAGCATCCTCCTCCCCGGGTTGGGTGGGGGTGGAACCGTCGAAGACGTGACTGTGTGATTATTCCAGTATCATGGTGAAGCGAGGGACCAGGGAGCCCGTGCGGACTCCCGGGGTCGTTGCAGCAGCGACCCCTGAGCTGGGCTCTGAGCAGTGGTTGGGTGCGGGGGCAGAACATGCAGGCCCTGCAGCCGGGAGCCTGCATCACCCGGGAGTGGACAGCGGCCCTTGGACGCCGTCGCGGCCATGCTCTGCACAGGGCTATCTGCGTCCCTCAGGAGCAGCGAGGCCCCTCATCCTCCGACGGATCCCACGGCCAACTCCTGGGGAGCAGAAGAAAGCCGGCTCTCTTGCCCTCCGGGCCCGTGGCTGGAATTCACTGATATCTCCGCAACTACGCAGTCACAGGAAGTCCCTGAGCACAGAGCCACGGCCTTGAAGGAAAAGCCAGGGACAAGGCGTAGATGAGATTTCCAGAAAGGACTCACCCGAGACACGAGCACCGGGTCACAGGAAGTAGAGTCTGGCTGATTCGTGTGTGACAAGAGAGGACGACCCCGCTCGGCGAAGGAAGTGCCGGTATTTGTGGTCACGCTGGAGTTCCACTGCGTCCCATCCACAGCCTTGTCACCGCGGAGACACAGTCAGGGAAGCCGACTGTGCTGTTCAGGGAAGCCTGGAGACGCAGGCCGACAGTGGGGTCGGCTTTCTGTTTTTTGAGCTTTATCGGGTTTGGAGACGAACGGGACATCACAGACACAGGGCTGGTCCCCGACGGGTACGTCTCAACTAGTATTTTCTCCTCTAAGATGACTCTCTGGACGGGTTTTCTGACCCCTTCTTTCCTTTTAGCTTCCGGCTCACTTCTTGTCATCTAGATTTAGGGAAGCTCTCGACATCGTGCTCCCCAAAGACGCCGTGCCCTCCGGGCTGCCGGAGTCCCAGCAGGGGCTCAGACCTTCCCGGGGACAGACCCGCAGTCCCCACTGTGGCCCAGCACTCATGCGCCCGCACAAGCCACCCTAAATCGGAACCGTCAGTCCCGAACGCAGAATAGTCTAGGAGTGTTAGTTTTCTGACAAAAACCACTTTAAAAAAAAAAAAAAGGCTCACAAAATACAAACGCCCTGATAGGAGCACATCTGGCAGGATAAGGAGACCGGCTATACGTGAGTGCCTGTTGTGAGCCCCCATCCCAGCGTCTCAGACGGGGCACACAGGGGATAAATGCTCAGACTTGGAACTCCGGCTCCCCGGGCCGCGTCCCCAAGCTCTACAGAGTGAACAGACTCACGTGGGCGACTCCTCAGAAATAAAGACTCACAGCAGAGCCTGGGCTCCTGGACCTGGAGCCATGGGGGCGCCTGCCTTCCCCTCCCGGGGGACACACAGGCCCCTGGAGCCGCGTCCCCACGTCTGCACCGGCCACGCCAGGCTTCCGTGGGCCGGGAAGCGCACCCCCCGCCAGCGCCCGAGCCCGCCACCCTGCGACCACCTGCTGCTCCCGGTCAGCTGGCAGCCGGCCCGCAGGAGAGCCCCAGCAGCCGCTGCTTCCAGACCCCGAGGCCAGCGCAACATCAAACGTCTCTCTTTACTTCTTCGTGATTTTCAAATAATGGTTTTTGTTTGAGATAAAAATGTGAAGTTACCCTAAAGCTGACAAATGCTCATTTTCTTGTCCTACCGGGAGATGCATGGAGCTCACGCGTGGGGGCTTCTTACACGGAGAACGAGGCCAACGGAGGCGATCGAGCGTCGGACGGATGGCTCTACCCATTCTTCTGTTCGCCAACCGCACGGCGCCCTCTGGAGAGAGGATGGCTCGCTCCCGTGGAGCTCAGGCCCAGGGGCCGGCGGAGGCCGGACACACAGGAGAGTGGAGGGCCAAGCACTTTAACAGGAACGTCACCATCGGGGTCGTAACACGCGTACCGCACGTTCAGAGGAAAGGCTCGGAGGGCCCGGGGGCTGCAACCGAGAGGCGGCCTGAGAGTCTGGAGCCCCCGTCCCTGCCCGACCCCGCGGCCCCGGCGCCAGCACAGGGCTGCGGGAGGACTGGCAGACGTGTGCCCACATGGGGTGCCCGCGGCGGCGGCAGGTGGACGGTCTGCCCCGCGAGGCCCCGCCGGGGGTCTCTCTCAGGGGAGTGCGCTCACCGAAGCGAAAGTAAAACAGCGGCCGGTTCCCCGCGGTGCTGGCCGCCCGCTCTCTGACCGCGGCGTCTCGGATGTCGCACACCCCGATGTTGCCGGAGTGCAGCGCTCGTCCTGGGGCTCCTTCACTGTGCTGCAGTCTACACCGGACCACGGCAGCTCCGTTCGCTGCTGTAACAAGTTGAAAAAAACTAATTAATGCAAACTTTAGTTTTTTTTAGATTTGTTACAGCACTGAGCAGAGCTGCCGACCCCATGCAGAATGGCACGAAGAACACCAAAGGGCCACGCAACACAGGCCACCCTCAACGCCCCGCCAACACGGTCAACCAGGTTCTCCGCGCCGCCGCGGCTCAAAAACGTCTCCCGGGAGCACGCAGACCTGCCTCTGTCTACACATCAGGATCCTACCGGGACCGGAGCCTCCAGTCTGCCCAGCGGCCCTCCCCCGAGACGCAGAGTGCTTCCCGCCACAGGAAGGGCAAGGCCAGGCCACGGAGACCGCCATCGGCTCAGCGGTCCTGCTAGAGGACGGTCGGGGCATCTGGCTGCACCTGCCCTGAAAGCCCTCCACGCATGGCTATCACCAGCCAAACACCTGACTCAGCTGCAGTTCCCTGAATGCAGCAGCCAGCAGGGAGACCCGGCCGCCCGCTGCGTCAGGCCAGCGCCGCAGGTCCACCTTCATGGAACTTCCTTAAACATCAGCTACGCAGAACCAGAACAGAGCTGCAAACGACAGGACCTCCGCACGGAGCCGGCTCCCTGGAGGGTGCGCTGCGGGAAATGCCCCAGCCAAGCTAGCGGCCCCTCTGGCTGTGTCACAGGCTGGAGAGCAGAGGGGCAGACGGGGTCACGTCTCCACCAGGAGCACCCGAGCCGACATGTTTCAACGTGGCAACCACGGAGCTGAGGAAGGGGGCCGTCCTGCTCCGCTGCTGACCGGGGTCAGGTGCACGGCAGTCCCAACACCCAGCAGGTTAACGTCACTCCCGGCTGACCTGCGCTTCAACCAGGGCTGAGTGCTCGAACCCCACCCTGGCAGCACGTGCTTCCTCCCACAGACGGCAGACGCTCGAAGGACACACTGTGCACTGCAGGGAAGAACCCACCGCATTCTGGGACCACGTTTCAGTCCCACACGGGGTCCCACACAGTGTCTACATTCTACGTCTGCCCCCCCATGACATGCACAAAAACCTGCGGCCAACTGGATCTGTCACCATTGGCAAGAATGTTCAACCCACTAAACCAGAGTCATGTTTGCATCCTAAGTGCTCTCGTGGTTTTGGTTTGCAGTAAGCATTGCAGGGTGATCAACACGTTCTTGCCTTCTATGGACGAAATATGTATCGACTTTGTCAGGCAGTCACAGAAGAGTCCCACATGCCTCCCGTACCCACACTGCCACCCCACGGCGGAGCTGGACGTGGCCAGCGTCACACCAGGACCGTGACCTTTGCACGCGCTGGGCACCACAAAGGACTCGCACTCCCCGGTGTCTCTTACACGTCACACTTCATTCATAAGATTAGACGCTCTATGTACCGTACGTACTCGGAGGCTGGGGCAGGTAGGCTCCGATCAGCTTCGACCTCTTCTTTTCGTATCCTTTCTGGGTGATGTCACCTGTAAGAGAAGGAAGGAGACATTTAGAACGGCCTCAGTGTCATCAGGTCACTCATCAGACCCTGAGATGCTGCGAGTTACGCCTCTGTCTTCTGTTGGCCTTTTAATCATGATTTAGAGAAGAAAGCACCTTGTCATTCACCTTGCCCCCAACCCCTGCCCTCAAATAGCCATTTAAGCCCCATAAAAACCTTCACGCTTGTCTCAGCCCCTCCCTGCAAGGTCTTGGCGCTCACAGGACGCGGAATCAGAGCCCGGATGTTCTTCACACCACCAAGTAGAAACCCCCCCACTCTGCACGGCTCTGTTAGGCCAGCTGACAAGGGACTGTGCAGGCATCGGTGCTGGGGACGGCCACCCAAAGCACTCAAGTTTTAATAAAAAGACAGCAAGTTGGTGAATTTGCTTTTTCTGATGACATATGCTCACTAAATTGCAGCAAACCATAAAGCACCCCGAGTGTTTGATGACTGACCTGACCAACCCACAGCTCCCCCGCACAGTTGTGGGCACACCACGAAGTGCACACCTAGTTCTAAATAGCAGAAGTCTACAGAGAACGCATCCCACTAACCAGTGAGCATTTCCGAGGCTAACGGCACACTGGGGGGCCACTGTCCGGTGTACCTGCACCACGGCCATGCCCACGTTCAATCGACACCAAGGCTGCTCATCTGCTTTTTGGAAATGCTCCAACTCCCCCCTTATTTTATTTATTTTTAAATATTTTATTTATTGATGTGACAGAGGGTGAGTGAGCACACACGTAAGCAGGAGGAGTGGCAGAGGCAGAGGGAGAAGCAGACTCCCCATAGAGCAGGGAGCCGACACGGGGCTCAACCCCAGGACCCTGAGGTCATGACCTGAGTCCAAGACAGATGCTTCACCCACTAAGCCCCCCAGGTGCCCCTCAAATCCCGCATTTTAAAAGGATGCCTAAAACCTCACAACCAAAAACCCCATACGAATCTACACACTGTGGAGCATGTTCTTCCTTTATCAGGAACGTGGAGCGAGCAGGGAATTAGAGCATGGTCACGGGTCACGCCTTCTGACCTCTGCCCCCCGACCACTGCCCCTCTTGTAACACCAAAGACGAGAAAACAACGTTGCACCTGTGAGGAGCCAGCCTGAAACCAGAGGAAACCGCCGGACACCTGGAATCCGTGGGCCGCGGGGGGGCCAGGCCTGGGCGGGGGTCAGAGGCGGGCGGGCCCCCAACCCCACTCACAGACGAGTCTCTGCTCTTCCTGGACGGGGCAGGAGGACCCGAGCCGCCCCCGCCCCGGGACCGGAGAGCAGCAGGCGCCATGTCCCTGGGGGCACGACGAGGCGGCGGTTCCCAGAGCCCTCCGGCTCCCTGGTCCGCTCCGGCCAGCGTGGGGCCAGCGTGGGGCCAGCGTGGGGCCCGGGGGCCTGGGCTCCCCTCTAGCTGCAGGCAGACACGCCCTGGGCTGGTGGCACCCTTCGGGCTGAGTCCCGCCTGGGGAGCCAGCCTTCCTGCTGCGCGCTGTACCCAGAAGGCGGCTGACATTCAGAGGCAAGGACGGGGAGCACGGCCGCGCCTCGGACGACCCCGGACAAAGCTCCGTGTTCTGGCCTCACCTCGCCATCAAGACGTTCGGCCTCAGGAAGACCAGCCCTTTCCCAGGAGGATGAGAACTCTCCGCCACCTCGGAAGATCTGTGCGGGGATGTGCGCGGGGATCTGCATGGGGACGCATCCTTGGGGGCGCCTGACCCCGCGCACAAAGGGCTGACGGCGGGACGCGTCCATGCCCCTGAGTGGGCGACTCGCGTGAGCCCCGCTACAGTCCTGCTCAGGAGCAGCAGCTCTCAGGATTTCCGGAGACCCCGCTTGCTAACAGCTCTCACAACCTGCCGAGTGGGAGGACGCGCTTTTCACGGAGTAACTTCACGTGACTCGGGGACAGCTAAGTCCTGCTCTGGTGGGCAGGCCGGCTGGCAGACCGCCTTCCCAGTGCGTCCTGTGCTCCGCTGCCCGCACCCCAACCCAGACCGCCGGCTCCTCGCCCCAAATGCCTCCAGTCCTCGCAACGACGGACTTCACACGAAAGAAACTCACAAACAGTCCCCGTGTCTCTTGCCCGGGGTCCCAGATCTAAGCAGAACACACACTCGGGACGCGTCTCAAACTACTCCCCCTCGAAGCTGCACCTGAATGGTCCACCCCGCCACCTGCTCCGGACGCGCGCCCCAACAGCCCGTCCCGGCCTGGGGCTCCAGCCGCACACACATCGCACCAGCCACGTGGGGCCTTCCTCACGACGTCCTGGAGGGCCGCTTACCGTTTGGCACACACACGAGCAGCCCACCCTCAATCCCGGGGTGTGAGCCTACGTGGATGGCATCTGTCTGCCTGTCCCCACGCCTGCCCAGGGGGACTGCTGGGGGCCATCTGGGGCAGGGTGGACAGAGACCCCCAGACCCCCATGATTAAAGCGCTGGAGGCCACTGCTGGAGTGCGTGTCCCACAAGGATCCAGGGTCTGGGGCGAGGGCAGGGCCACTTGGGCTCCCCGAGCACCACGGCTGGCGGGGGACGGACTGTGGACGGACTTTACTGTCCATGGAAGAAGTCCTGTTGCTTTTAACTCCACAACTCCTGTAGCCTCTGGTGGACGACAGTCCATGGGTCACCACCTCTGCAAATGTTCGCGAGCAACTTTCTAGCCGGAGGCGTCTCACGTCCTGCCCGTGGGGCTGACACAGCCTGTGAGGGTTTGGAGGCTGACAGGGTAACGGGGGAAGAGTGAGAGAGGAGTGCGTGGATGGCTGATAGGAGATGGACAGACAGGGGGCAGATGGACGGACGGGCACACAGACGGTCAGATGGATAGACAGAAGGATGACACACAGACACACGGACGGGCAGGCAGACAGACCCATAAGGATGAGACACACGCGGACCCGAATGCTAACACGGCTCTGCCACCGGCCGACCCCCAGACAACGCCAGGACATCACCGGAACAACACAGCTCCTCCAAGTCTCCCTGCAGCTCGAGGACCCCTGGGCGCCCCCACCAGGTCTGCCAGGAGCACGCAGCCCTCGGGGTACAACTGCACGTCCGAGGCAGAAGGTCGGCGCAGGGGAGCCGCCGCCCCATCACAGCCAAGGCAGGATTCTGCTCGCTGGGGCTCCAGCTGCCCCATGGTGACCCTTAGTTGTCACTCCCGTGCAGGGACCCCGACCCCAGGACCCCGTGCTCCAGCGTGCGCCTCGTGCACCCCAAACAGCGCGTTTCCAGGCTCCCACGCTCAGGCCGCCTGCCCACCAACCCCGGTCACCAGGAGTAAGGACACGGGGCGGGAGGGAGGAGGAAACAAGCCACCTTCACCCTGCCCTGCACCTCCCCAAGGACACTTACACCCTCCTCCCGCAAGCAGCTCCGTCAGACTTGACATTCAGCAGGAGACCTCAGGGCTCCGTGTTCTCCCGCAGACCGAGCCCACGCGCACGCACGGCCTACATTCAAGGTGAAAACCCACGAGAAGCAAAACCAGCCACACACTGCTGAGAAGAGCTGCACCTCCCACGCCCCAGGGGAGCCTCCTCTCACTTAGGCCATGACCCTCTCAGGCGGGGCCTCGGCCCAGAGGAGGTGGCCACACCGACGCTGGCACCAAGGGGACACCGTGGGGTCCCGTCCCAGCTCCCACCTCACTCCAGAGCTCAGCCCCATGGGGACGTGAGCAGGGGTCTGTGCAGGGGGCGTGGGCAGGGTAACTGTGCAGGGTACCTGTGTGGGGATCTGTGCAGGCACCTGTGGGGGGGACATGTGTGGGGATCTGTGTGGGGATGTGTGCAGGGATGTGCATGAGGATCTATGTGGAGATGTGCTCGGGGATCTGTGCAGGGATCTGTCTGGAGGGATCTGTGTGGGGATGCGGGTGGGGAATGTGCACGGGGACGTGTGCAGGGATCTGTGCGGGGACATGCATGGGGATCTGTGCGGGGAGGTGCTTGGGGACGTGTGCAGGGACATGGGTTGGGGCCGAGCGAGGGGACATGGGTGGGGGATGTGCACGGGACATGGGCAGGGGCTGTGCACAGGGTATCAGTGTGGGGACATGTGCAGGGTACATGGGCGGGGACGTGTGCAGGGTATGTGGGCAGGGGACATGGGCAGGGGATCAGTGTGCAGGGGGATTAGTGTGGGGCCATGCGCAGATCTGCACCTGTTGTTGCTTGTATCATGACGTCCCTGACAAAGTGCAAGGCCATGCAGAACCCCATCCCTGAGTCCCCAGAGAAAAGGAGTAAACGACGCGGGTGCGGCTCACCATCCCCACCGGGCCTGTTTGGCCGCAGCCTAAGGAAGGAGGGGGTCATGCCCGACCCCATGTGACCCCGCAGCGAGGAGGCGGCGGGAAGGCTTGGCCAGGACCACAGTGTGAGTGACAAATGCACAAACCGCCGCGTCCGAGCAACAGCACTTGGTGGGAAGCGGAGGCATGTCTCTGTGGGGAGAGGCTTGGGCCCTGAGCCGCGGGAACCACCCACACAGGCGCCTCTGGGCACGCAAACCCGCCTCCAGCGGGTACAGGAGCACCCGGGCCAGACAAGGTGATGCGGTGACGGGCCACGCTCCACGTTCAGGTGGGTTGGCATAGCACCCAGGGTCTGCCCCGGACAGGCTGTTCCTCGGGACGTCCTGTTGCTGTGCAAAGGGTCCCAAGGTTTCGTCCTGTTCACTCATTGACCCAGCAAACACCTGGTACCACGTACGGTGCGCCGGGCAGTCTGCAGGGCTGAGGGGACGTGGCTGGCACTAAAGGTCTGCTCAATGGAAGATTAAGGAAACAGCCCTACTCTCACTTTTGAAACTTTCTTTACAGATGGAAATAGGGGCGCCTGGATGGCGTGGTCAGTTCAAGGGCTGGCTCCTGGTTTGGGCTCAGGTCTTGACCTCAGGGCCCTGGGATCAAGCCCCGAGTCGGGCTGCGAGCTGAGCAGGGGAGCCTCCTCTCCCCTTCCG